TACGCCAAATAAAAACGAAAACTCGTGGGATTGATACGCAAAAATGGACTTTGGCGTGTATATGCTACGCGATGGGTAGGTTTAGGGTTGTGAACAAATTTCGTATCATATGCACGCGAAAACTGCGTATCATATGCACGCCAACAAATTTCGTATAATATGCACGTGAAAACTGCGTATTATATGCACGCCAATGTCCATTTTTGCGTATCAATACCACAAGTTTTCATTTTTATTTGGCGTACTATTTATACGCATTTTCATGAGACCGGGCTCTTGTAGCTTGTAGCGAAGCTAACTCCTGTTTTAAACGTTTAGCTTGACTGTAGTTGAAATATAGGCTATTGAAGCATATTTACAAAACATGGGGAAAACTTTACAATATATTATTTTTTTATTTTAATTGTTACCGTTATCATATCATAACGTTATAATAAATGTTTATATATTAATATGAAATATTATATGTTAATATATAATATAAATAATAAATATTAATATAAAAATATACAACATACAGGGGAAAAAATATAAAGAATATGTAACGTTGAATATATGAGCAGGAGAATTTAAATAGAAAATAATTAAACTGATTCAATATAACTTTGATATAAAAATGCAGTGAATCAGTGAATCGTTGTTTTGATTCCCCTACTTGACTCACCTCAATAAACTGATTCACCAGAAATATATATTTTAGAATCATTATTCATTTTTATATTTTCCATTTTCTTTTCTTTTTTTTGTTAAAGTTTAGTATTTTTCTTTTGTGTTTTTGTCATTTTGTTAGGTTTTGTTCCTTTTGAAACACGTCTATATAGTTTCCATTCCTTTTCATTTCAGTTTTAGTTTTAGTTATTTCAGTACATCAAGTTAAACTAAACAAAAATCAAGTGATATATCAATAAAATATCATGCTTACATTTACTGTAATCCCAAAGCGGATATGAGTCGCATGATTTCTCATGAATTTCAAAGCCAGGAAACGGAATCCTGGAATTTCTTTCATCAATCGCTCTTGATGATTCAATCTGTTTTCCTGTTTTTTTCCGTTGCACCCATTTCAAAACGCGATCGCTAATGCACTGAAGCGATTGAAAGGTTAAGTGTGTTTGTGTTTGTGTGTCGCTCAGACATGATAGGCCAGAGGACGCGAGCGCCAAAGTCCGGCGAGGGCAAAATGGTGAGCGGGAAAGAGACGCTGCGGCTGCGCTCCAAAGGATCGGCCACGCTGGAGGAAATCGTGAGTCAGGGTGCAAATCCCAGGCCTTTTCAACCTTAAGTTTGCTCTCCATCTCCAACCATTTGTCTTCCAACAGCCCGATGAGTTCGAAGACAAGGCCATCAAGAAGGTCGACGACCTGCTGGAGAGTTACATGGGGATCCGGGACCTCGAGCTCGGTGAGATTCTTCTGAGATTTGGACGTTACCGTAAAAGGCCTGCAGAACGTCTCTGTAATTCCCATGAATCCAGTGCATTTCATCACGAGCATTATTGGAAGCATTCCGTGGCCTCCAGGGATCGACTCGTTCCAAAAAAAACCCAAATTAAAGGAATAGTTCACCCAAAAATGAAAATTAGCTGAAAATGTCCTCATCCTCGGGCCATCCGAGATGTAGATGGGTTTGTTTCTTCATCAGATTTGGAGAAATGTAGCATTGCATCACTTGCTCACCAATGCAGTGAATGGGTGCCGTCAGAATGAGAGTCTGATAAAAACATCACAAGTAATCAACACCACTCCAGTCCATCAGTTAACATCTGGAGAAGACGAAAGCTGAAACTAATCCAGCATTAAGACGTTTTTAACTAAAATACGAGTCCGTAATCCAAGATAACGCATGATAATGTGTTCTGGTCTGAATCAGGAGAGAAATCTGCACAGATCAAGCGGCGTTTTAGTTAAAAACGTCTTAATGCTGGATTTGTTTCAGCTTTTGTCTTCTCCAGATGTTAACTGATGGACTGGAGTGCTGTGGATTACTTGTGGATTATTGTGATGTTTTTATCAGACTCTCATTCTGACGGCACCCATTCACTGCAGAGCATCCATTGCTGAGACACTGATGCAATGCTACATTTTTGATCTTGTGTCCTACAGCGACTACCATCGTGGAGGCCGGGAAGAACAAGAAGAACCCAGATGATTTCGCCGAGGCGCTCGACTCTGTTCTGGGCGACTTCGGCTTTCCTGACGTCTTTCTATTTGAGGTTTGGGGGGCTATGGGAGACGTGAAGAATGGACGCATTTAGAGGTAATGCATTTAAGGTATTTTGAAGGGAAAAAATTGTTCCTTTTTGTCTTGTAGTGAGATTGTAGATTGAATTATAATTTTGGTACATTTTTATTTATATTTTTTTATTTACATATCAAAATGTAGGAATTACATATGTTAGCTTTGCATTTATATAGTCAAATATATATATACAAAAATTAAAATAAAAATTAAATAGAAAAATATTAAATACTATTAAATATTCTAAATATAAATAATTATAATATTAATAAATATTAATTTTTTTAATCTATTATTTTTATATTATTTTATCTATGCTAGTTTCGAATATATATTTTCAAATATTAAAAATTCATATAGATTTCAAAAACAATCTAATATATTTTATTTATTGTTTTTTTCTGATCTTTCATTTAATGATCCATTTGCATTGCATATATTGTTAAAAAAGTACAAATATAATATTGCTGTTTATTTTTTTGTTATACATAGCAAATTTATTTAAAATATTAAACATTTTCAGTAACTGAAATAAAATAGAATTATTAGATGAAAAACCTGCAAAATAATTAAAAAAAGAAGCTTAGAAATATTGCACTAGCAACCAAATGAAATAACTATAAAGTGGAAAAAAAGAGAGAAATATATACAGAAATATTAAAAAATAAAATAAAATTTCAAAATTCAAATTTCAAAATTCAAAATTCAAATTTCATTATTTTGTGTATTTGGTGTAACAGAATATGTTGACATGCTTTAATGTTCAAAAAACAACACACACACACACACACACACACACAAACAAACACACACACACTTACAGAAAACCATTAGCGGGCCTTTCTTCCTGGCGCTGGACAAACACCATTAGAAGCTCAGCATCAGATGTTACAGGCTAACGCTATCTCACACCAGCACATGCTTTTCCTCATCTGTGTTTTTCAGAGTACGTCAGACATCTGAGAGACATTCAGCTTGATTTGTGACGTCTGTCATCTGTTTTCATATACACAATCCTCCCAATTCCCACGCTGATCCTGAGGAACGGAGAACGTCAAGGTATTAGCGGCTAATCGGCACGCTAACGCAAACATTCAAGTGTGTAGAGCAGTATGAAGTAGGTCGAACTGTATTTCCCACCAATGTGTATAGCTAACAAGGGTGTAAACCAATCTTGTAAGTGTTTTACATGATAAATTTGACTTTTAGAAGTATTATGATCAAGTATATGTTAGCTTAGCTTAGCCTAGCCTCTGTTTGTTTTGCCGTCTGTTGTGTTATGTATAAATACATCGTGTTACAGGTGAAATGAATGATCTTTTACGATTAATGACAAATCATGTGACACGATTAGCTTGTGTATATAAAAACAATCAAATATTTAATCAATTCTATGCACACATTCGATGTGTATTTAACTTAAATATCTGCTAGAAGAATGTACGTACCCCTTTTATGATGACCTGATGTGACGTGTAAAGATTAAAAACATACCACAAATTGACTTTTTGTGCATTCACAATTAATTCACATCAAAGAGAGCCACCAAAATGGCTCACAAATCTCCTTTAGTCACCGTGAAATCAAAATGACCACTATTAACTTTGTAAAAACTCATTTTTTGGTCTTATAGAGACCAGAAGTAAAAATCCTATTCATTTTTTTCCATAGGGGAATTCGTTTTTAATTTGTTAAACATTAAAGACTAACCTACTGTGAGCTACGTGATTTTTAATCAATGGTTTATCCACTTTATTTTATTCAACTTATAAAAATAAAAAAAACACGTTTAACAGCAGAGTTCCTGGTGAACAAACTACATTACCCACGATTCTGCAGAAAAATTCCACCAATCAGAGAATGGCGACAAGAGCTCCGCCCACTCGATGAATGATGCATCCCAAAGCAAGCCCAGTCTGCGAGTTTCTGCCGTACATTTTCATCGTAGCCATTGAGTATATATACAGACTTGTCTTTTTGTCAGATTTTTAAATACATTTTTGCTTTAAATCAGAGTTAATTTTGTGATTTACCTCCTAGTTGGTTGGTTTGGTTTGTTGCTTTTAACTCTTTAAAAAATCCCTTTGGGAAAAACACTCCAGGAATCACTGAAAGTGGGTGGGACCGACTGTGCAAAGGCTCCACCTCCAAAATGACATCACATACTTAATTTCTAACCCCCCAGTGATCATCCGATCACTGGCCAACTGGTAAAATCAAGCCCCGCCCACTTTCCCACTCAAACCTACAGGTTTCTAGTGAACGTTTTCATTAAAGCCATTGAGTACACATTCTTGCCTTTTTGTCCAATTTTCAAATACTTTTTTGCTTTAAATCAGACTTTATGTTGTTATTCACCTTGCATCTGATTGGTTTGGTTCATGGTTGGGTTTAATCCTTTAACTAAGACTTGAATGGAAAAAACTCCAGGAACTGCTGAAAAAGTGGGCGGGCACTATTGTGCAAAGGCTCCACCCCCAAAACGACATAATCAAACATGCTTACTTTTCAACCCCTCCCCCTCCAGCCGTCACTTTTCATCATCCAATCACCGGCCAACTGGAAAAATCAAGCTCCGCCCACTTCCCCACTCAAGCCTTGAAATTTGTACTGCACGTTTTCATTAAAGCCATTAAGTACACATTCTTGCCTTATTGTCCTAGTTTCAAATACTTTTTTGTTTTTAAATCAGAGTTTGCAATGTTGCGTTTCACCTAGTAGTTGGTTGGTTTGGTTCATGGATTGGTTTAACTCTTTAACAAATGGGAAATGAATGCGAAAAACTCCAGGAACTGATGAAAAAGTAGGCGGACACTATTGTACAATGGCCCCGCCTCCAAAATGACATCACATAGTTATTTTCCAACCCTTGAATGGAAAAAACTCCAGGAACTGCTGAAAAAGTGGGCGGGCACTATTGTGCAAAGGCTCCACCCCCAAAACGACATAATCAAACATGCTTACTTTTCAACCCCTCCCCCTCCAGCCGTCACTTTTCATCATCCAATCACCGGCCAACTGGAAAAATCAAGCCCCGCCCACTTTACCATTCAAGCCTTCAAATTTGTACTGCACGTTTTCAAATACTATTTTCAAATACTTTTTTGTTTTAAATCAGAGTTTGCAATGTTGCGTTTCACCTAGTAGTTGGTTGGTTTGGTTCATGGATTGGTTTAACTCTTTAACAAATGGGAAATGAATGCGAAAAACTCCAGGAACTGATACATTTGTACAGGATTGTACAAAGGCTCCACCTCCAAAATGACATCACATAGTTATTTTCCAACCCCTCCCCCTCCAGCCAACCGCCACTTTATCATCATTCAAACACCGGCCAACTGGAAAAATCAAGCCCCGCCCACTTTACCATTCAAGCCTTCAAATTTGTACTGCACGTTTTCAAATACTATTTTCAAATACTTTTTTGTTTTAAATCAGAGTTTGCAATGTTGCGTTTCACCTAGTAGTTGGTTGGTTTGGTTCATGGATTGGTTTAACTCTTTATGATACATTTGTATAGGATTGTACAAAGTCTCCACCTCCAAAATGACATCACATAGTTATTTTCCAACCCCTCCCCCTCCAGCCAACCGCCACTTTATCATCCAATCACCGGCCAACTGGAAAAATCAAGCCCCGCCCACTTTCCCACTCAAGTTTCTACAGTACGTTTTCCTCAACAGCTTCGCTCTCCAAGTTCATGCGAGTTCGACCCGTCTTGAGAGCTCAAATATACGCTTCTCAAACGTGTACGACTAGAGTTACGACTAGAGCACCTCTCCGAAAGCGAAGCGCCAACAAAAGGGTTCAAAAGGTGGGTCATGCCCTACTTTGGGCGCCATATTAGACATTGAATCATTAATGAAGTAGGAGATAAATGCTAGTCTTCGCTGCTAAATGGAACTAGACACCGCAGTGGCGTTCTGCACAGGTAGAGGCGTATCCTCTTGTCTGGCTTTGTCTGGATTCGGCCGGTCGTGATCCAAACGGTCAATCGTCCCTCCAAGAGAGGCGCGCGTGAGTTTGCGGAAGGACGTCGAGAGCGTAGGATAGAGGCTGATGATGGAGCCGCGGGACCAGTCCATCTTGGGAGCGACGCGCTTCAGTATGGCACGTCGGAATAGGATGTAGACCCAGGGATCCAGGACCTGGTTCCCCGTCGCAAAACGAAGCCAGAGAAGCAGGTGGCGAACGTTGAGCTCGCTGCCCGACAGCACGGTCTGCGCAATAAACACCTGTTGAGAGGAAAAATAACGAGAGGGTGATGAGAGGAACGCAAGAAGAAACACTGAGACGCTTGAACTCCACTTGAGTCAGCTAATAAAATAAACACAATCATTACGGCGCAAACACTGCCATCGCTATGGGCTTTGTCATTTCCAACTGTTTATGAAATCTAATGGATTTTTGAAATGAGAATAATCAGAACGTAACATCTGGGGATGTTGGTCACAATTTCCAGGAACATAATGTCGATACTAAATATATTCACTCCAAAAATATTCTGTGAGAGATGTGAAAAACAAATATATTTGCTGTTTCTGGCGTCTCTCAAAATATTTTTGGAGTGAATCCCAAGAAATCTGTCAGGAACATGTTCAAGTCATATTTCACCCTAAAATTAAAAGAAAAACTTTTTGTGAATTATTGTTTGTGAAAAGAAATCGAAGCCCATTAAGACTTAATTAATCAACTATTCTTATTTCCGCTATGCAATTTTAGTAATTGTTGTACTGTTCAGTTTATTTATTTAAATACTTTATTATTTAATTACTAATACTGTTTCAATTAATAATTAAAAAAAAAAAAATTTGAAAAAAAGTGGAGGAAATGAGCTTAACCGTCATGAAAAAAAATGCTTAATGGTTAATAAAACAATAAAATATAATTTATATTTTTTCTTTTAATTTTAGGGTTAAGATTTACCATATTATTGTGAAAATTAAAAGCAAAACAAACAAAGATACTGGAAATAAAACGAGTCATGTGAGGCTAGCAGCGACTTCTTGGACACTGGAAAGTTTCTTTTAGGATGAAACTGATGAAATATCTCATGACCTTTCTGGATATTTTTCCAAATAGCTGCAAGATAACGAATGGGTTCGATGTTAACATAAACACTTAGCAGTAATAAAGCAAATAAAGTGCTAAAAGTAGTGAGTCACTGAGCTCTACTGAGTGTTCACTCGATAAAATACACACGCTCAAACACACACACACACACACACACTCACCACTCACACACACACACACACACACACACACACACACACACACACAGTGCATTATTTGGTGGAACATGACACAAAATACAAACATTGACCATGGTAAGTACATTTTCTGCCAAAATATGATAACTTCTATAACAATTACTGCTACAAAGAAAATGTGGGAACCTGGTATTACTTACCAGTCATCTATCTATCTATCCCAATATATATATATATATATATTACACATTGATAATATGTATATTATGCTTATGTTTTTTTATTAAATATTAAGACTTAATTAATCAACTATTCTTATTTCCGCTATGCAATTTTAGTAATTGTTGTACTGTTCAGTTTATTTATTTAAATACTTTATTATTTAATTACTAATACTGTTTCAATTAATAATAAAAAAAAAAAAAATTTGAAAAAAAGTGGAGGAAATGAGCTTAACCGTCATGAAAAAAAATGCTTAATGGTTAATAAAACAATAAAATATAATTTATATTTTTTCTTTTAATTTTAGGGTTAAGATTTACCATATTATTGTGAAAATTAAAAGCAAAACAAACAAAGATACTGGAAATAAAACGAGTCATGTGAGGCTAGCAGCGACTTCTTGGACACTGGAAAGTTTCTTTTAGGATGAAACTGATGAAATATCTCATGACCTTTCTGGATATTTTTCCAAATAGCTGCAAGATAACGAATGGGTTCGATGTTAACATAAACACTTAGCAGTAATAAAGCAAATAAAGTGCTAAAAGTAGTGAGTCACTGAGCTCTACTGAGTGTTCACTCGATAAAATACACACGCTCAAACACACACACACACACACACACTCACCATATATATATTACACATTGATAATATGTATATTATGCTTATGTTTTTTTATTAAATAAAATAAATATAAAATATATAATATAAATAAAAAATAATATAAAGTAATATGAATACTGCATTTATTTATAAACATTTATAACAGCATACATTAATATTATACATTTATTTTCTGTCATATATATTTTAATTTTTTGAATAAAATATTAAC